CCGTTTGCATGCTTATAGGGTTCTTTGCATGGTGAAATGGTTCTTCAGGTTGATGGAGAATGTGTTGTACATGTTTCTATATAGAACCTTGTTGAAAATGGGTCGATCTAGCAGCAAAAAGGGTTCTGCTGCTGTTACGATGCCAAGCTCGTAACAATAAAAAACATTTACGGTGCTACATAGAACCACTGTCTTTGCTAAAGAAACCTTGAAGAACCTTCTTTTTAAAGATAGAGTGTGTATGTAATGATCATAATAATAATCATGTTATTATAGTTCCTTAACAAGCAGCTTGTTGCTACGTCAGAGTAACGAGCTCCGCCCACTCGCTGCTCAGCCTGCTGTAAGCCTCACCTTTTGAAGTACGGACTGAGCCATAAAACTGCCGCAATATCAGGTTCAGCTCAGTTTTGTCAATTTTTGCCAGATCAGTATTAATGTTGTTTTGTTCCAGCCAGTCTGTAAAGCATCTTACAGCCCATTTAGTTTGGCGAATGGTGTTGGGTTCATTTCTGGCTGATTCCAGGTTGTTTAGCTGTTCTTCTGTCACAGCTGCCAACTGAAAAGCTGCTCAGTGGTGATGACAGTTTGGGAATTTAGTGTAGCCTCGTCTTCAGAGTCTGACCAAATCAGCTGTCGGTCAAATGTGACCTTAAAAGTGTCCGTTTTCTGTTTGTGGCAAAGTAAGAAGTAAAAACGTCCAAATGCCTCAAGCATCTCCTACAGCTGTCAAAGTCGGCATTTCAGCGGAGAGATGTAGTGTTTGTGGAAAAAGAATGCTTCTCAACCAATCAGCTTGAGTGGCTGGAACTAACTGTTGTGTATATATATATATATATATATATGAAGGCATATTATTGTTATGCATATGTACAATTACTGCTTATTTGCTGAATTTAAAATGTGGCCTGTTTAAAACTTATGGTGTATTTTATATTTTGTTTTTTCCAGCATTAACAAATAAATATAGATTTTCTGCTAAAATTTCCATGAAAACACCACAGAAGAAAATCAGCAAACCTTTATTTGACTGGGATTGTTCAAACGTTTGACTGTATATGTAAGTACCTATAAGTAAAAACTAGCGGTGTCAATGCAATAAACCATAAAAGGCATAAAAGTTTTTTAATACCACTACTGCATTTTCCTAGTTTGACCCTCCTAAACATTAACCATTAACCATTAATTATAAAAAATATTGCAACTTATATCAATTAGCTATGCAAAATGTGATTAATTGCAATTAACTATAAATTAACTATTAACTATTGATCACATAAACATGTGATCAATCACGATTAACTACACAAAATAATGCAATTCATTTCGATTAACTATAAAAAAAATGCAACTAACAGCAATTAACTACGCAAAATGTGATTAATCTCGATCAACAGCATTAAAACATGATCAATCGCAGAAAATAAAGCAAGTAATCATAATTAATTGTTTTAATCATTTGGTATCCCTATTAATAACTTATATGTATTACATATAGGGTTGGGGTCCAAAAGTCTGAGACATAACAATCTTGGTAAAAAGCAGAATCTTTTAATGTTTTTGTGAATTTCAGAATTTCTTAGTATTTGGTTTCATAGTATTTTGTCCCAGTTTTGCTTGAATGACAGCGTCCCCTCAATTCTGACGAGCAGATCAGATCCACTGGAGAGTCGTCTGAATGCGAGCTTCACTGGAAGAGAGAAGACCAGGCCTCCGTTACTTTTTCTAATAGAAGCTACAGTTTGGGGGGGATACTGATTTTTTTCTGGTGAAGAGCAGCCAAACATCCACACAACCACTAAGTGATCACCTTTTCATCATATGGAGGGAGGATTTGGTCCCCACAAAGATATAATCTCACACACACACACACACACACTTCATGGTGACAGCAGAGTAAGGTAAAAACCATGAAGCCACACAGACCTCAACTTCTTTTATTACATTATTTATTGAATTGTAACAAATAAACTCACAAAAGCTAAGAACATCTCAGATCTCATAAATGCTACTTTTCTTTGATATTAAAACAAAGCACGGTTGTTCTCATCATCATCATCATCATCATCATTGTGTCCTTGTTTAAGTTTGTTCCCTTTGTGTTTTTTTTAACCATGGTCAGTAATGGCTCTGCAGCAGCATCTAGTGGTCAGAGTGAGTACTGCATGAACTCTGCCCCCAAATCACTGCAGCAAAGATGACCAACATTTCACTCTTGCGCTGAGTAAAAACACAAGTGCTCTTCACTTTCTATTCATGTCGGGCTGCATTGTCAACAGCAGCCACCAGAGGGCGCTCCAGCTGTGGAAAACTGTTCTGCTGAATATGAGGTAGTATTTATTGATTTTTACATAGTTGCTATTACAAGAAAACCTTCTATCTTTGAGATGGTAATGTACGGAACCCTGATGGTGTCATCCCATAAAAATAGAAATAATGCGTGGCCACGATTTAGTAAGGCATGGGAACGAGATCCACGACTTAGTAAGGCGTGCGAACAACATAATTAAGTCGTGACCACAACTTAGTAAGGCATGGGAACGAGATCATGCCTTACTAAGTCGTGGCCGTGCATTAGGATCTCAATCCCACGCCTTACCAAGTCATGGCCACGCATTAGGATCTCAGTCCCATGCCTTACTAAGTCATGGCCACAACTTAATTATGTTGTTCTCACGCCTTACTAAGTCGTGGCCATGCATTAGGATCTTGTTCCCCCGCCTTACTAAGTGGTGGCCACGCATTAGGATCTCAATCCCACGTCTTACTAAGTCGTTGCCACAACTTATGTTGTTCTCACGCCTTACTAAGTTGTGGCCATGCATTAGGATCTTGTTCCCATGCCTTACTAAGTCATGACCACAACTTAATTATGTTGTTCTCACACCTTACTAAGTTGTGGCCATGCATTAGGATCTTGTTCTCATGCCTTACTAAGTCATGACCACGACTTAATTATGTTGTTCTCACGCCTTACTTAGTCATGGCCATGCATTAGGATCTGAATCCCACGCCTTACTAAGTCATGGCCACAACTTAATTATGTTGTTCTCACGCCTTACTAAGCTGTGGCCATGCATTAGGATCTTGTTCCCTTGCCTTACTAAGTCATGACCACAACTTATGTTGTTCTCACGCCTTACTATGTCATGGCCACGCATTAGGATCTCAATCCCACGCCTTACTAAGTTGTGGCCATGCATTAGGATCTCAATCCCACACCTTACTAAGTCATGGCCACAACCTAATTATGTTGTTCTCAAGCCTAAGTCTGGCCATGCATCATGATCTTGTTCCCATGCCTTACTAAGTGGTGGCCACGCATTAGGATCTTGTTCCCATGCCTTACTAAATTGTGGCCACGCATTAGAATCTTGTTCCCACACCTTACTAAGTCATGGCCACAACTTAATTATGTTGTTCCCACGCCTTACTAAGTGGTGGCCACGCATTAGGATCTCAATCCCACACCTTACTAAGTCATGGCCACAACCTAATTATGTTGTTCTCAAGCCTAAGTCTGGCCATGCATCATGATCTTGTTCCCATGCCTTACTAAGTGGTGGCCACGCATTAGGATCTTGTTCCCACACCTTACTAAGTCATGGCCACAACTGAATTATGTTGTTCCCATGCCTTACTAAGTGGTGGCCACGCATTAGGATCTTGTTCCCATGCCTTACTAAATTGTGGCCATGCATTAGGATCTTGTTCCCACACCTTACTAAGTCATGGCCACAACTTTATTATGTTGTTCCCATGTCTTACTAAGTGGTGGCCACGCATTAGGATCTTGTTCCCATACCTTACTAAATTGTGGCCACGCATTAGGATCTTGTTCCCACACCTTACTAAGTCATGGCCACAACTTAATTATGTTGTTCTCACGCCTTACTAAGTCATGGCCACGCATTAGGATCTTGTTCCTACGCCTTACTAAGTTGAGGCCATGCATTAGGATCTCAATCCCACGCCTTACTAAGTCATGGCCACATTTTAATTATGTTGTTCTCATGCCTTACTAAGTTGTGGCCACGCATTAGGATCTTGTTCCCACGCCTTACTAAGTCATGACCACAACTTAATTAAGTTGTTCTGATGTCTTACTACGTTGTGGCCATGCATTAGGATCTTGTTCCCACGCCTTACTAAGTCATGGCCACGCATTAGGATCTCAATCCTATGCCTTACTAAGTCATGGCCACAACTTAATTATGTTGTTCTCACGCCTTACTAAGTTGTGGCCATGCGTTTTTTGTATTTATTCAGGAGGTCACTATATAGCATATAGCAATGCTATAGAAGAAGGAAAATTTGCTCTTGTATGTATGTTACTCTAACGGGGCTCATATCCTACCTTTACCCTGTTCTACTGTGCCTTTGAAGCTGATATATGTAAATGAGCTCTGTTCTGATTGGCTGTGCCTCATTCAAAAAGCACTAAAAAAGGCTGTGTTCACATTACCAGGTTGAAGTGGCACAGATCTGATTTTTTGCCCTAATGTGACTCAGATCTGATGTTTTCAGGGCTGTGTGGACACAAATCTGATCTTTTCAAATCCGACCTGAGCCACTTTCATATGTGGTCCTAGATCGGATACGTATCCGATTCATGGCCATGCGGCCTTAATGTGACGCTCAGATGGGAATTCATATGCTTTTTTTTCCACTGCGCGTGCGCCATCATTCAGCGTTACCATGGCAACAGCGCCAAACAGAAGCTAAAGCCTGTAAATGGTGGAAAAGCAGCTCATCTCCCCTTTTTCTCCTTCGTCTCGCTCTAATAATGAAGCTGAGAGCCGATCAGAGTTAATGATCTTCTCAGCGAAGCTTGTTCTGCTCGTTAGTTTGTGCTGATGGTGAACGTGATTCATTCACGTGACGTTACTGAGTAGGATGAGCTCATGAGGGTCATTTCAGGATTTGAATCACTTACCTAAACGAGTGTAAACCATCGTGTCAGAGAGATCGGATTTGAGCAAAAAATCGGATTTGAGCAACGAGGCTTGTAATGTGAACGTAGCTCTAATTTCGGTGTAAGTGGGCTAAACTGCTGTAGGCTGAATAGGTGGATGTATGGGGCTGTTTTTTGGCGGTTTATGAGTGAATGGTACTAAAGTCTAATTTAGTCAATTTGTCACATAATGATCCACCTTGAGATTTACACTTAAAAGAAAGGTGCCTTATGAAAATGTTATTTGCTGTTATTAATATTACAAAATTACAAAAGCAAATTTTCACTCCTTCTGCTGGTCCACTTGTAATAGAAATGACGCATGCCGTTGTGTGGATGACAGAACAAAGAGGAAAGATGAGAGAGATAATGATAAATAAAATCCAAGAAAGAAGGTTTCCAGTGCTGTGATTGTTCTCATACGGCACCGACTGTTTGGCCTGACTCCCTCACTCTTTCCTTGCTCCCTACTGAGTGAGCGAGGGTGCGGTTTGGAGCGCAGCCGGCTCTACATCTTCTCGTAAGTGAGCTGGTGTCCGCAGGTTTTACACACTTTCCTGTACTGATCCTCCTCTTCGTCCACCAGCTCCTCTGGACCGTAATCGTGCTGGTGGGCGCTGGTGTCCTTCCTGAACATACTGCTGCGGACCGCTCGCCTCAACTCTGATACAGAGAGAGAGACAAATATTATTTAAATGCTTAAATAATAAATCACAGAAAAGTAGATTAAGGTTAGCAATCAAGGGCTGTAACTCTGAGAGGCACAAAATGTGTGAATGTGACGCTCTACACAGCTAAAACCACTATAAATTCACCGCCATTTCATAATACTAAATAATTTTCAGTACGTACTGAATAACTCATAGTAGATAGTGAATAACTCATAGCAGATGCTGAAAAATTCACAGTAAATACTGAAAAATTCACAGTAGATACTGAAAAATTCACAGTAGATACTGAAAAATTCACAGTAGATATTAAATAATTCATAGTAGATACTGAATATTTCATAGTAGATACTGAATAATTCATAGTAGACACTGAATAATTCATAGTAGATACTGAATAACTCATAATAGATACTGAATATTTCATAGTAGATACTGAATAACTCATAGTAGATGATCAGATTCTGAATAACGTACTGTAGTTACTGAATGATTCACAGTAGATACTGAATATTTCATAGTAGATAATGAATATTTCAGAGTAGATACTGAATAATTCATAGTAGATACTGAATAACTCATAGTAGATACCGAACAACTCATAATAGATACTGAATAATTCATAATAGACACTAAACAACTCATAGTAGGTACTGAATAACTCATAGTAGATTCTGAATAACTCATAGTAGATTCTGAATAATTCATAGTAGACACTCAATAACTCATAGTAGATACTAAATATTTCATAGTAGACACTGAAAAATTCACAGTAGATACTGAAGACCTCATAATAGATGATCAGATTCTGAATAACGTACAGTAGTTACTGAATGATTCACAGTAGATACTGAAAAAATCATAGTAGACACTAAATAACTCATAGTAGACACTGAA